TGCATGAGGGACCCAGGACCTCCTGGGAAAGGCCTTTGAAATCACCGAACCGAAGAGATGCTCAGGGGAGCCCCAGTGCATGGTGGGACTTTGTTCAGGAGGCTGGTCTTCGTGCCGAGGCACGTTGGGCCATTCTCGGTGTGCTCCAAGGGGAAGCTTGCTGGAGTCTGTGGGGAGGACGGAGCGTTTGCCACGGGTGGGGAAGACTCAGAGGCAGAGGAATGGGGGCTGTGTTTATATGCTCAGTGTCTCTGCTTTTCTTTAGTCCCTGCTCTGAGTTCTGAGCTGAACCACAGGGGGGAACTCACCAGACCTTGGGCTGGATTCTTCTCAGCATTGGGCACCTCCTGATCCTCTGTTGGTGCCTGCTACGGGCGGAGGGAATTTCATCCGACAATAGACTATGTCTCTGATCCCTAGCTGGACCAGGCCTCTGCCTAGTCAAGGAAGGAGCCAGGGTTCTGGCCTGATGCTAACAGCGATCACCAGTAATTCAGTCCCCTTCTTTTTGCCTTCTCTTTGGCCTCGTCTGTGCCAGCAAAATGCCCCAATTTAATGGCAGATGAAGTGGGCTTTAGCCCACGAAAGCGTATGCTCAAATAAATTTGTTAGTCTCTAAGGTGCCACAAGTCCTCCTCGTTCTTTTTACAGGTTGAAAAATGCACACTGCAAAGCACTACTGGGGATACACTTGGGGCTTGCCGAACACAGAAGTCACACCGGTTTAACAAACCATGGAATTAAACCCTTGTGTGGACACCTTCCGATCAGTTTCAGATTGGTTTAGCCTGCACCCGTAATAATAATAGTAATACCCCATCTTAAATAGTGCTTTTCATCAGTAGATCTCCAAGCAAGTCTGTATTATCGTCATTCTACAGATGGGGAAACTGAGGCACGGAGCGGTCACCCAGCAGGCCAAGCTGTGACTAGACCTCAAATCTCCTGAGTCACTGTGCAGTGTATGCACTATGGCACAATTCACCTTTCCTAGACCCTGAGCTCAAAATAAGTGGGAGACTTGCTATCTCTGAGGATACCAAGAATTTAAGCATAACACCATGGAAAGAAACTTACAGACCTTGCACTGGCTGCTTGGGAGCAAAATTAGAGCTACTTAATGGGTGAGCTCTACATTATGGCCTCATATGCCTCAGTTTCCCCACCTGACTGGGGATAATGGTGCTACCTTGGCCTCATATGGGACAGGGTGAGGGATCATTCATATTTGCAATACTATTATTGTTCTTACACACAAAGGTTGAGATTTTTCAAGCTGTCTAGGGGATTCATTTCTATGGGAGCTACATGTCTGAGAGGAACAGGCACTGGACGGGGACTCAGAACATCTGGGTTCTATTGCCAACTCTGGTGGGTGATCCTGTGTGCCTCAGTTTCCCCTCCCACCCTTTGTCTATTTAGACTATGAGATCTTTGGCATGATGAAGTCCTGATCTCAGCTTGGGCCTCTGGCAGGTTAATAACATATACAGCCAAGACTCGTGATATTTGGCATTTTAGTTAAAGCACCAGCTCCTGGAGTCATGTGATGTTAAGATAATCTCCCTAGACATCTTTGAAAATCTGCTCCTTTGGGGATTCCCTGTTTCCTTAGAGCAAGAGGGGAATGTGGGTGTTGAGAAATTCATGAGGAAGATAAGAGAGGAGGATCATTTTCGACATGACAAAGGAAGGAGGGGGTGTGTGCGGGATGCCTCAGACCTGTGTTTTGCCCTCTAATCCTCCAGGAACCCTAAAAATTCCACAGGACAAAAATAATCAGCGTGAAACAAGTGGGGAAGGAGGTAAACAAGTGGCTGATAACAGGTAAAACTCATATCAGCAGCAACAACAATGTTCTATAGGATCACGAGTGAATCCCACAGCGGATGTGGCAAGGGACTAATAGAGATGCAAGATGGAAAAGAGCCTGGTTGCGGGGGAGGTCAGACGGCAAAGGTGCTTAGTTGGGAAATCCGGCCCTGATTGTGGGTGCTGAGCACTCGGAAATTGGTCCAAATTGGGTCAATATGCCCCTGCCATAACCTGATGCAGCATTGCTACAGTTGTGCCCAAAGAAGCTTGGCCCAAAGGGTCTTTAAAACGAGGGATAAGGAATTTCTTTAATTGGTCCGACTTGCTCAAACTTCATCCCTGCGCCCTAAAACGGGAGCAGATTTACCCCCCACCTGGAATCTCAGATGGTTCAAGCTGTGTTCCTGGAAGGGTCAGTCCCATCCTCCGCCCAGCAGATATACAGATCTGCTCCATCAGCATCCAATGAGCAGCTGGCCCAGGTGGGACCTGCCGCGTCTCGGCTCCTGGCACGCACACGCTCTGCTCCCTCCCAGCGCGGCGCGCCTCGGCGAGGCTGGCAGCAAGGCTGTGCACACCCGCAGTGCCTCTGAATTTTACAGGCCTTGTTTAAACTCCCTGCCGGGCACTGCGGGGAGATGTGAAAGGGTTATGAACTCTGTTCTACAGGTGGGTAAATGGAGGCAGGGGGAGAGGAAGGCATCTGCCCAAGGTCACCCAGCAGGTCAATGGCAGAACCTAGCCCCGTACACTAAGCAGTAGACAATATTCCCTCCCCTGGCTTGACCACACTCAAAGAATAGAACGCAGTTGTCCCAGTCCAACCATCCAATTCCCTCCCAGTGCTAGGAGAGAACTCAGGGGACCCAGGCCACTGCTCTAGCCACTCAACTCCCTCCCCGAATAGAACCCAGGAGTCCTGGCTCCTACTGCCCAACGGGACACCCACTGCACAGCTGCAATCCCAAGCCCCCCTGTGCCAGGATCTAGGAGCGAGCCTTTCTCATGCACCCCCTTCCACCTGCCACCCCTGGCTCCCCATGCATGGACGGCAGCCAAGTCGGCCTAGGTGACCAGCACATGCCATTGTAAGGGAAGGCAGCTCTTGTTTTTTTCCAGCTGTAACTTTCCTCAGCCCAGGGCTGTTTTGACAGGGGTGGGATGGAACTGACACTGGGGGGTGGAATTGACTGGGCCAAATTAGAGGCAGCCCCTTTGGTCAACCATTTCCTCCCCCTCTTACCCCAGTGAGTCCATCCTGATTGAATCCCTCCTCTCCATAGGAAATATATACCGATCAAATCAAACCTTCGCGAGACACAGCAGGGAGCAGCCGGGTTAACCAGCCCCAGGCAGACAGACACGGGACTGGCCACAGACAGAACAGACGGTGTCAGCAAAACATCCTGAAGACTCAGGAATGTGGCAACCCCTTTTGAACCAGCTCCGGGCCCAGCAATGGGATGAGCTTAGAGACCAAGGGCCAGATTTCTTGGGCATGAGGCAGCTAATACCTTTCAAAACTGTCCCCAAGCGCCCTCAACTTGCAGCGAAGCCGAGAGAGCTAAGGGCGAGTGGCACCGCAGGGATGGGGCCCAGAGGGAGACTGGGCAGCTTGTATCTCCTTGGAAACAGTGGCCATCTGGGCAAAGACATTTGTCTCTAGGCCACTTGCTCGGATGACCCCCTCGCCACCACCAGCTAGCCTCTTGGGAGAGACCATAGCTAGGTTTGCAATAGTCCCATCAGCGCACCATGGGCTCGACCTTGGGAAGCTGTGAGCACCCTCTCAGACGGTGCCGTGCATCCGCATTGCCAGATCCTCAGGGGGAGCAGATCGCCGTCGCTCCGCATAGAGACATCGACGCCAATGGAATGATGCCAACTGGGGGTCTGGCCCCATTGACTCCAAGGGAGCGACAGACGATATACACCCATTGGGGAGAATTTGCTCCATTGCCCTCAACAGATCGACTTTGATTTACACCAGCCCAGGTGCCTGCCTCGGGGCCTCAAAGGACTGCTTGAATCCTACGCTTAGCTAAGCCAACTGCCTGAAGTGCCAAGTGCCTGATGCCAGTAGCCGGGTTCCAGGAAGCTGAAAGCAACATTGCTTTAACAAGATCCATTCCCCCTACCTTCTTTTTTCCTGAGATGGAGAAGCGGAGAATGGAAGGGGGGTTAGCTGGGAGCTGGGGCGTGTTAATGTGGAACATGACCTTATTAACACACCTATCGCGAGCCTCAAATCTCTCGCCACTGCTGAAATTTCAACTTCAAACGACGTCTTGGGTTGTGGGTTTTTGGAAACGTTCAAGCTCTGGGCCGCTTTTATTTTCCGTCTCTGATCGTTATTTCCTTTTCTTTTAATTAAAACCCCTCGTTATCTTCTTCCCCCTTATTCAAAAAATTAAAAGCCAACTTCTAAACCTACCCAATCCCCCTCTTTAAGAAAAAAAAAAGACATTTTTTCGCTGTACGATCACATAGGATCATTAAAAAGGATTTTTCTTTTTTCTAAAAAAAAAAAATCTTAAAAACAACCCTTTAAATAGCAACTCCAGCCGGTGAAATTTCTGTAGCCAATAAAATCTGAAAATAGCCCTGAACTGGGAGTTTGTCCTCAACCGAAACCTAAATATTTGTGACTATAGCAGCTGGGCAGTTGGGTTTCTGAATCTTTCCCAACCTTTGCTCTGAAGGCAATTGCTGCTTGTGAAGGGTGGGGAGGCTAGAAAAAGTTTAACTTGATTCCCCTCTTTAACTTGATTCCCCTCTTCCACGTTTTGCCTTTCATCTAAACAAGGAAAACACCCCCTCAGGTTTAAAAACCATACCCTGTTAAATGGGGCACAGCCCTGGGTTGGTTTTGCAAAAGTCTACACACACAAACTCACACAAACTAAACACAGATGACACTGAAATCCAGGGCACCCACAATCAGTACCCAGGCGCTCCCACTCCAGAGTTTAGAGGAAACATCCTTGATCTCTATCGCTTCTCCTTCCTCTTGGTATATTTCACCCCCTCTTAAGATAGGCTGCCCAGCACCCCCTGCACCCAGTCCTTATAGCTTCACCATGGATTTGATTTTAGGACAACCCCCACCCCACCCCAAAATAAAAAGAAAATGCAAAGAAAGAAAGGGAGAGAGAGAGAGAGAGAGAAAAAAAAGAGCTTCTTACTTTTTTCAGCTCCTTGGGGTTTAGTTTCCACCTGGCTTGAGAAAACCCAATTGCTGCTAAGTCAGGACTCTCTAAGGCCCCTGAATGCATGCAGTGGGGAGATTACCTCGAGCGCTGGAGATGCCATCTCTCTGTGTGTCCCAGCCTGGGGCGATTGCAGCAGATTTTGAGGAGAGACAAGGAGAGGGAACTAGTTGATCCGTAGTTAGAAGGGACTGGGGGGGAGCTCCTTCCCTTTGCACTAGGATCCACCCTCTAATTACAGCCTAGGAGCCTTTGAGCACCCGCTAGTATCCAATAAAGGAGGAGGGAAGGGGGTGGAGTGGGGGGAAGAAGTCAACATTTTCGGATTGATCCTTGTTTCCTCAGAGGTTAGAAAAGAAAGAAATGGGGGTGGAGAGGATGGAGGGAAAGAAGAGGAGAGAAGAATGAAAAAGAGGAAAGGAAAGAGAGGGAGGGGAAAGGAGGAGGGACAGAAAAGGGAAAAAAAGAATGGAAAAGAACAAATGGAGGGGGAAGGACGAGGGAAAGAAAAGAAAGAAACAGAGGCGGGGGAAAGGATGGGGAAAGAACAGAAAAAAGAATGGAAAAGGAGGAAAGAAGAAGTGGGGAGCTAGGAATAGGGAGCCGGATGACATTCTGCGCCCTGACCCCTTGGGATGCTGGGGCTGGGACTCTCCGCCAGGGCACAAGGCAATGCCGGGGGGCTTTGGGGGAGGCTGCGCCTGAGGGATGGATGAAGGCTGACCCTGCAGTCCTCACACACTCTCCTTTCCCACTCAGGCCGAGGGGGGTGGGGGTGGGGTAGTCTGTAAACGGATGGAAGGATCAGGCCCAAATGGTTCAACACCGATCCTGACCCTGTTTAGGTCCCTAGGAGTTTTGCCATCGACGTCAAAAAGAGCAGGATCGGGCCCGCACGTGGAAAGAGACTCCCAGCTCAGATTCAATCCGACTCCTCTTCCACGCTCGCTAGAGGTCTGATCTGGTTCCTACTGCGGGGGGTGGTTCAGCCTCCTGCCGCCCTCTGGGCAGACGTTTACACTGGCCCAAAGTGCTACCCGGATCAATGCGGTGGCCAGTTCGCCCCCACATTTTGCACTGGGAGCACAAGCCACAGGGCCATGGAGCAGAGGGCCCCTGAGTGCAGGTGGGACAAGGATGAGGGGTGGGAGAGTCCGTCTAGCTGTCTGGCTGTCAGCCAGAGGATCAAGGAGTGAGGAGGAGCGGGGAAGAAAAGAGGATAGGAAGGGAGAGAGCTGAGAGGAGAGAGAAAGCAATGACGGTATAAAAGAAAAGAGAAGGGCAGACAGGCCAGGTCAGCAAAGAGAAAAGTCACGAAGGAAAAGGAGAGAATGTGAAAGAGACAGAGAGTGGGACCAGAACAGAGGCGCTGGGGGTGGCTCTAACTGACAGGCCGAGGGGAGGTGTAAATTGCGCCGATGTATTCTCGTGTAGAGCCAGAGTCTGATCTGCATTCACACTGGTGTAAACATGGAGTCAGCAGCCTTGCCCTGAATTTAGACAGGCGTAAATCTGGACTAAGCGGCATGGCTGTGCGTTTACACTGGTGTGAATCTGGAGTGAGCCGCGGTGCCCTGCCTTGACGCTGGGATAAATCTGTAGTGAGCAGCCTTGCTGTGCTTTTACTCAGCTATAAATGAGAGCAAAATCTAGCTCGCTCAGACGGCCCAGCGATTGCTCTGTGTGGCATTTGGCACATAGGATTCTATGGTAATTTGCCTGCTTCTATCAAATAAAATGCTCCACACTGATGGGCTCCATCTCCAGCATTACCCCACAACTCCTTGCACTTGCCTTTGAAAGGTGGGAGGCTTTGAGACCGTTGATTATGCTTCACACCCAAGTAGCCCCTAAGAGCCCATCGTCCCGGGTGAGGAACGAACACAGAGTGGGCCACAGACCCTGCCCTGCCCTGGAGAGCTTGCAGTTTAAACGGACAAAGGGTGGGAGGGGAAACTGAGGCACAGAGCAGGGCTGTGATTTGCGCCTGGACACCCAGCAGGCCAGTGGCAGAGCCAGGAATTAAAAACCAGGGCCCCAGCCTAGCACCCTGTCTCTGCACTACACTCACAGAGGCCCCGCGATGATGCAATGCAAGTATCACAACTGCTTCACTAATAAAATCAGACAGTCTTTCATCTGCTGAGATCCCTTCCTACCCTCCTCCCTACAAGGATAGGCCTTGCATTGGGTCTGTTTAGACCTTTCTTTGACTGGATTTTCCTTTTTAGTTAGCAGGGGGGGAAGCCACTAATTAAAGATACAGCAGCTCGCTGCCCATTTGGAGGCCACATTTGGAAGTATTTATTTTTTGTGCATCTGAAGTCAATGGGGGGGGGGGGGAGGGAGGAGGAATCAGCAATTGGTGGAAAGGGGAGGGGGGAATCAAAGGCTGCAGTGGCATGCGCTCCCGACCTCAGATTGATTTTCCAACATGACATTAAAGACCATTTTAAAATGAACGTAGCCAGAATGGCAAAGTCGGGGGAACTCGTCAACAGAGACGCCAGCAGCTGGGATGGAAATAAATTATTCTCCCCCGTTTCCAGCCTTTGCTTCTTGCAAGTGTGTGACGGAGGGTCAGCGCTCAGAGATCTTGGCGTGCTCGCTGGGAGGTTGGGCTGTGTGAGGAGTGCACAATAGAGTCTGTTATAGGGCATGTTAGAAACTGAGATGGGCCTGCTACGGGAGGCAGCCTGGTCTTTTGATTAGAGAAGGGGGCGGGCTGCAGGGATTCCTGGGTTCTATTCCCAGCTCTGGGAGGGGAGAGGCAGTCACGGGGGTGTCTGGGAGTCAGGCCTGTTGGGTTCTATTGCCCACTCCAAAGGGACAAAGCATGATCTAGACGCCAGAGCAGAGGGGTGTCTGGGAGTCAGGACTGCCTGTTTCTGACACTGATGTGCTGTGTGAACCTGGGTGGAGTCACGGCCCTGCCTCGTGCCTCAGTTTCCCCATCCCTACAATAGGGGATGGCGAGCCTGCCTTTGAACACCTAAGATGAAAGGCAGTAAGGAAGCACCAGGTGTCATTGTTTGGAGCCTGCCTAGGGCTGATTTAGTGCTGTGCATTGAAACCAAGTGAAGCTTGTATTTAAGCTTTAAAAAAACAAAAAACCTTAATCACATAAAAGCCAATGGTTTGAAGCGAGCTTCGGCCTGATATCAGGGGTGGGGGGAGGGGGTTTTGCAAGGCCCTAAGGAAGAAAAATGCAACAGAGAAGACCCTTGTGCAGCCCAAAGGAGTGAGGGAAAAAGCATGTCTAACCCACTGGAGAGAATGTGCTACAGAGCCCTCTCTGAGCCTAGTCCGCAGAGAAGATGTCTCCTATAGCAGGGGGATATGTCCTAGGTTTATTCCCCAGACCTGGGTTTGCCCCCCAGACTTTGCATAGGTCTATACACTCCACTTGTTCTCCCCCTGACTTTGCTGGATATAACGTACAATGGTCTCTGTGCTGACACAACCTTGCCCCAATCCTGCCTCCCCCAATCTTTCTGAAATGACACCCCAGCTGAGTACCGGTGGCTCTTTAGCTCAGGCTTGCACTTTCAGGCTTGGAGGTCCCAAGACTTACACTATGATGGAACACCCCGTGTGCCCGGCTATGCAAAACCTCCCCCCGGACCATGTCAGTGCTTCTGGGGCCTCTGTTGTGCCGGGGATTCAGAGGGAGAATTCCTCATTTTCTGAGCTTGCAAGCAATGGTGTTGCCAACTCTGATGGGTTCAGGGATGTTTCTTAAGGCCCCATGGTTCTGATTAAAGAACAGAAAATGGTCACTGTTTTTGCAGAACAAAATGAAACTTTCCAGCTAACATTTTGACAGTTTTGACCCCCCTCCACAAAGGCACCATTTGGGGTTTCTCCCCCCTCTTTTCCAGCAGCAAAATGGGCAAAGGAGAAGGGGAAACCCCAAAAAACTAAAACGTTTTTGATTTTTGGTTTTTTGACCAAAAACAATGAGAAAATTTTGAACAGAATGAACATTGATGCTATCAGGAAAACAGCTGATTTTCCACTGGGAAATGTTTTTGAATGAAATAGTTGAAGCCATTCTCTTGTTGATGCAGCACGCAGCCCAGCCAGACATGCAAAGGGTAGAAGCTTGGTCCCTTTGTCGCTGTGGGTCAGCCTAGCCCATGCCACATTGACGCCTGCTGGGAAACTTGGAAACAAGCTTTACCGTAATACGGCTTTCTCCAGGCGTTTCCATAAAAACCTCTCACTCACTGCCTGATGTGGCAGTGAAAACACAATAGGGTGTTGAAATCAACACTGCCTGACGTTCACGATATTTGGTGTTTCCCTGAAAGACCCAGGTCCTGGAGTCTTGTGACTATGTGAGAATTTCAGCTTGTGTTTAAAAAAAATGGATGTTTTTAGGTCTCATGGCCGCAGAGAAAAACTGGAAAATACGATACCAGACAGCGCTAAGAGCCAGCAGGCAAATGAAAAACCCCTTCAAATGTATTATTGTTAAAATCTCATGAATTTGAAGCTGATCTCATGATTCGTAAAGGCAATCTCGTGACTTTTGGGGGACCTGACTCATCATTTTTGAACATTTGGGGTTGGTGAGTAAAACAGATGCAGAATCAGAGTCCAACAAATGACACACTCCCTAGCTGATCCCCCTCTCTCCAATTGTCCCACATCCAAACACTCCCCGCCTTCGGCTGTGGGTGAACTGGGATCTGGGTTCTGATCGCCCCAACACCAGTGCATTTCTGGAGCAACCCCATTGACCTCAGCAGCACTTACATCGGCATCTATACTCCTCTCAGGACTGTGAAAAATCCACCCCCCTGCGAGACACCGCTAAGCCGACCTAACCCCCAGTGTAGACAGTCCTGGGTCAATGGAAGAATTCTTCTGTCAACCCAGCTCATAGACTGACTCATAGACTATCAGGGTTGGAAGGGACCTCAGGAGATCATCTAGTCCAACTCCCTGCTCAAAGCAGGACCAATCCCCAATATTTTTTTGCCCCAGATCCCTAAATGGCCCCCTCAAGGATTGAACTCACAACCCTGGGTTTAGCAGGCCAATGCTCAAACCACTGAGCTATCCCTCCGCCCCCAAATACCATCTTCTG